AAATATGGAATGGTTGTGTATACCCGTGTAACAATCCTATCGTTGTGCTATATTGTGTAACTTAATACCTGATGACTAATAATCCTGTACCCCGTATGGCCAATAACCCTGTATCTCATATGTGGGTTCAGTGTAAGTAGAACCTGTATGTTCTCATGTAGAATGACCTGTAGGGGTCAGTGTATGTTGAAGTCCTTATGTTTTATATGTATATATACATATGGCTTGTAGGTGGCAATGAAGTATGGATGCCCGTAATGTAATAGTAAAATATGTAACAGTGTGGAACTTGATCAGTGCTCTGATCCAAATTGACAATGCTAATAAATGTACAAGTATGTTGGAACAACCAACCCCACTTCTGTAGAATAAGAGCAGAAAAGTTTTTTTTTTTTTTGTTTGTTTTTTTACACACAGTACTTGTCACAGAAAGAAATACATAGAGATTACCGCTGTTAACTAGGATATGAGTGGTTAACCTTGAGAAAGACGTGTGAACTTCTATTGAAGTGACAAATGATTGATCATAAACACTGATAAATTATGAGTGATACAGTTCAGCAAGAGCGTGAGGTTAAAATACATTACAATGACCCAACAGCTGAAACCTATCTGCAATGTCTGTGATAATGTTGTATAATAAGGAGGGTTTGTGGGAAATGTAGTTTATTGGGGGGAATGGAATATGAGTGTGTGAGACGGTGGTGAGCGGCGGAGGACCGACTGAGGATTACCAAGTCAGTTTGTGCCCGTCCTGGGTATGGCTTGGCTGTATGGGGTTAAATGCTCGCCGGGTGACCTGAGTAATGTTGGGGGAAGGTTGTTAGCCGTGCCCCTGTACTGCCCGTTTGTACTCCGTGTGTACGGATTTTTGCCCGTGTATAATTTTGGCGCCCGATCTGAATGCCGGCTGCCGGGACAATGCATGCCCGTAAAGTGAGGACCTAGCCCGTGCCGTGAAAATGCTTCCCGGCGGCACGGGCAGATCAACTTACGGTACGCGACTGATGATGACGTAATCCGCGGCGACGACCGGAAATTCAGCAGCTGGACGGACGGAAACCTGCTGCTGAGTTACTGGACGCAGTTCCGGCGTGGAGGACCTCGTGAGAAGACGGACGAATCCCAAAATGGCGACTGGATGACCCGGAAGAGCAATCAGACGCTGACCTTGATCGGTAAGGATTCAGGTAAGAGGTGTAGTTTATATAGGGGAGTGAGTTAACTTAAGCCCCTCCTACAAATACAGGCCAAACGGCCTTTTCACATATATATGTACAGGTAGTGCAGAATTATTAGGCAAATGAGTATTTTGTGGAAAAAAGGATCAGCGCTGTGTGGAAGGACTAGAAACAGGTAGATAGCTGCAACCTATAAGTATGAGGTTCCCTCTGAAATCCTCAAGAAAGAAATGGCAAAAAACAGAAATAATAGGTCGCGCTTGAACAAATAAATATATTATATCAGTATACACTAAAGAGCATAGAGAAAAATTATATTATAATGAGAAGAATAATAAATAGTCCAAATAATTGGTGTACTTAAGATAAATTCCAATGGATAGATGAAGATCTCAGTCCTTAATGTTCGTCTCTTACTGAATTCGGCAAAGGAGTAGTGTGTTCAATGAGGAATCGGTTCTTCTAATACGAACAAGGTCTTGGCTTGATGGTAACCATGAAAAATAAAGAAAACAGGGAGAATCCAATAGTGTAGATAGTCTGCAGATAGCTGAGAGTATGTTGAGAGTGTTGCTGATTGCCGACCTCCGTCTGACTACTGCCTCTTCCCAGCGTGTGGGGTTGAGCCACGTGGTCGCGGGACTTTGCGATCACGTGGCCACCCCCTACTACATTTCCCATGCTGCACCCCCTTTAGTGATGTCGGACGGAGGCGTGTTTTATTTAGCCAGCCTCCGTCCGAATCACTACATGCCCCATACGCATTTGCGGCGTTAGTTGCCGCCCTTTTAGCAGACGTCAGACGGAGGCGTGTTACTGGTTGCCGACCTCCGTCTGACTACTGCCTTTTCCCAAAGAGTGGAGTCGAGTCACGCGGTCGCGCAGGTTTGCGATCACGTGACCACCCCTTACTACATTTCCCATGCGGCATTATTACCTACCATAAAATCGCATTATACAGCGATCACATGACTTCTCATTTGTTTTATTCTCTTATTTCTGCAAATAATACTCGTTTTAACTTTAAAATTAAATGATGATTACATATACTGTTTTATTAATATCATGTATTTTTTCTTTTATGTTTGAATGTTTTTTAAATTTTACTCACTGCACTGATGACGTCATTTTGGCGCCAAAATTTGAATTAACATGCTTTATCTAAATTTATATAAGTATCTATGTACCAGGCTGTTTTTTACTATTGCCAGTTGATAAAGCCCTGTGTGGCGAAACGCGTTTTGGCTATTATTTATTTTTTATATTGTACTAATAAAGGAATATTGGCTCTTTTATCATAATTTTTGCCATATACCTTTTTTTTTATCTTATTTTACTAATTTCCTGGTACCCGGTTACTTTTCACCTTGGAGTCTACATACAGCCAAGAATCCTAAGTGGGGATTGTACCACTCGTGCGTGTATAGTGAGCAGTCTATTCTGCTCATTTAAATGTGAGTATTTTTATTCTGTCATTTTATTTATTTTTATTTATACCCAGTGAGCACTATATTGTGTTTCCTTTATCCCTTTTCTTATACGGAGGAATCATCTTTACCTATATCCTACCAGTGGGGGACATAAGCCACTGAATGCCAAATATACTAGAGCAAGTATATGCTCAAAAATAGGTGAGTGTATTACCTCCCTATTATTCTTCATACTCTCAGCTATCTGCAGACTATCTACACTATTGGATTCTCCCTGTTTTCTTTATTTTTCATGGTTACCATCAAGCCAAGACCTTGTTCGTATTAGAAGAACCGATTCCTCATTGAACACACTACTCCTTTGCCGAATTCAGTAAGAAACGAACATTAAGAAATGAGTATTTTGACCACATCATCCTCTTTATGCATGTTGTCTTACTCCAAGCTGTATAGGCTCGAAAGCCTACTACCAATTAAGCATATTAGGTGATGTGCATCTCTGTAATGAGAAGAGGTGTGGTCCAATGACATCAACACCCTATATCAGGTGTGCATATTTATTAGGCAACTTCCTTTCCTTTGGCAAAATGGGTCAAAAGAAGGACTTGACAGGCTCAGAAAAGTCAAAAATAGTGAGATATCTTGCAGAGGGATGCAGCACTCTTAAAATTGCAAAGCTTCTGAAGCGTGATCATCGAACAATCAAGCGTTTCATTCAAAATAGTCAACAGGGTCGCAAGAAGCGTGTGGAAAAACCAAGGCGCAAAATAACTGCCCATGAACTGAGAAAAGTCAAGCGTGCAGCTGCCACGATGCCACTTGCCACCAGTTTGGCCATATTTCAGAGCTGCAACATCACTGGAGTGCCCAAAAGCACAAGGTGTGCAATACTCAGAGACATGGCCAAGGTAAGAAAGGCTGAAAGACGACCACCACTGAACAAGACACACAAGCTGAAACGTCAAGACTGGGCCAAGAAATATCTCAAGACTGATTTTTCTAAGGTTTTATGGACTGATGAAATGAGAGTGAGTCTTGATGGGCCAGATGGATGGGCCCGTGGCTGGATTGGTAAAGGGCAGAGAGCTCCAGTCCGACTCAGACGCCAGCAAGGTGGAGGTGGAGTACTGGTTTGGGCTGGTATCATCAAAGATGAGCTTGTGGGGCCTTTTCGGGTTGAGGATGGAGTCAAGCTCAACTCCCAGTCCTACTGCCAGTTCCTGGAAGACACCTTCTTCAAGCAGTGGTACAGGAAGAAGTCTGCATCCTTCAAGAAAAACATGATTTTCATGCAGGACAATGCTCCATCACACGCGTCCAAGTACTCCACAGCGTGGCTGGCAAGAAAGGGTATAAAAGAAGAAAATCTAATGACATGGCCTCCTTGTTCACCTGATCTGAACCCCATTGAGAACCTGTGGTCCATCATCAAATGTGAGATTTACAAGGAGGGAAAACAGTACACCTCTCTGAACAGTGTCTGGGAGGCTGTGGTTGCTGCTGCACGCAATGTTGATGGTGAACAGATCAAAACACTGACAGAATCCATGGATGGCAGGCTTTTGAGTGTCCTTGCAAAGAAAGGTGGCTATATTGGTCACTGATTTGTTTTTGTTTTGTTTTTGAATGTCAGAAATGTATATTTGTGAATGTTGAGATGTTATATTGGTTTCACTGGTAATAATAAATAATTGAAATGGGTATATATTTGTTTTTTGTTAAGTTGCCTAATAATTATGCACAGTAATAGTCACCTGCACACACAGATATCCCCCTAACATAGCTATAACTAAAAACAAACTAAAAACTACTTCCAAAAATATTCAGCTTTGATATTAATGAGTTTTTTGGGTTCATTGAGAACATGGTTGTTGTTCAATAATAAAATTAATCCTCAAAAATACAACTTGCCTAATAATTCTGCACTCCCTGTATGTGTGTGTGTGTGTATGTGTGTGTGTGTGTGTATATATATATATATATATATATATATATATATATATATATATAATTTCTGTTTTAATTTAAATCCACCCAGCCTCCCTAGCTTTAGGAAAGCTGGAGTGGATTCTTCCTTGGGATCCAGTGTTACTGGCTGCTGCTGGGCAACAGGGCGTGCGGACAGGCAGGCGCACAGTAGAGGCAACAAGAGAGCTGTAATCTTCCTGCTCTGTGCCACCTAGTTATGCCGCGAGCCAGAGTGACATCATATTCCAGCTCATGGCTTCACGGTGGAGTGCGCGAGGGAGCGCAGCAGAAGGAGCACTCTCTCACCACCCGCAATATTAGCTGCCGTCTGCCTCGGGTGGCCAGTTGGCCAGCTATTGGATCCCTCATGAAGGAGGCTAACATTAGCATTTGATGTACTGGGGAGGAATGGAGCTGAGGAATGGAGCTGTGGGAGATGTACTGGGGAGGAATGGAGCTGTGGGAGATGTACTGGGGAGGAATGGAGCTGGAGGAGATGTACTGGGAAGGAATGGAACTGGAGGAGATGTACTGGGGAGTAATGGAGCTGGAGGAGATGTACTGGGGAGGAATGGAGCTGGAGGAGATGCACTGGGGCGGAATGGAGCTGGAGGAGATGCACTGGGGAGGAATGGAGCTGCTGGAGGAGATTTACTGGGGAGAAATGGAGCTGGAGGAGATGCACTGGGGAGGAATGGAGCTGGATGAGATGCACTGGGGAGGAATGGAGCTGGGGGAGATGTAGCTGGGGAAGATGTACTGGGGAGGAATGTAGCTGAGGGGGGGGGAATGTAGCTGGGGGAGATGTACTGGGGAGGAATGGAGCTGGGGGAGATGTACTAGGAGGAATGGAACTGGGGAAGATGTGGGGAGGAATGGAGCTGGGGAAGATGTACTAGGAGGAATGGAGTTGTGGACGATGTACTGGGGAGGAATGGAGCTGGAGGAGATGTACTGGGGAGGAATGGAGCTGGAGGAGATGTACTGGGGAGGAATGGAGATGTACTGGGGAGGAATGGAGATGTACTGGGGAGGAATGGAGCTGGGGGAGATGTACTGGGGAGGAATGGAGCTGGAGGAGATGTACTGGGGAGGAATGGAGTTGTGGACGATGTACTAGGAGGAATGGAGTTGTGGACGATGTACTGGGGAGGAATGGAGATGTACTGGGGAGGAATGGAGCTGGGGGAGATGTACTGGGGAGGAATGGAGCTGGAGGAGATGTACTGGGGAGGAATGGAGCTGGAGGAGATGTACTGGGGAGGAATTGAGCTGGGGAAGATGTACTGGAGAGGAATGGAGCTAGGGAAGATGTACTGGGGAGGAATGGAGTTGTGGACGATGTACTGGGGAGGAATGGAGCTGTGGAGATGTACTGGGGAGGAATGGAGCTGAAGGAGATGTACTGGGGAGGAATGGAGCTGAAGAAGATGTACTGGGGAGGAATGGAGCTGGAGGAGATGTACTGGGGAGGAATGGAGCTGGAGGAGATGTACTGGGGAGGAATGGAGCTGGAGGAGATGTACTGGGGAGGAATGGAGCTGGAGGAGATGTACTGGGGAGGAATGGAGCTGGAGGAGATGTACTGGGGAAGAATGGAGCTGGAGGAGATGTACTGGGGAGGAATGGAGCTGGAGGAGATGTACTGGGATAGGAATGGAGCTGGGGAAGATGTACTGGAGAGGAATGGAGCTGGGGAAGATGCACTGGGGAGGAATGGAGCTGGGGGAGATGCACTGGGGTTGAATGGAGCTGGGGGAGATGCACTGGGGTTGAATGGAGCTGGGGGAGATGCACTGGGGTTGAATGGAGCTGGAGGAGATGTACTGGGGAGGAATGGAGCTAGGAAGATGTACTGGAGAGGAAAGACATTAGGATTTCTGGGGTAATTTTGAAGCGATGTAGATGTTCTAGGTGGTGTAGGAAGATGTAATGGAAAAGATGTAGTGAGATTGGGAGTAATAGGTGTGGATCATGAAATGGAGATAGGCATTGAATGCATGTGCTTACAGCTATGGGTTTATAAAAAAAAAAAAGGGTAACAGGAGGGGATATTTTCTTTTAAAAGGAACGACGTGTGTATGGGTAGCTTCAGGAGATGGGGCTTCTTGGGCAGGGTGAGGGTAGCATTGTGTCTTTAGACCCAAGCCGGCACAATGTGTTGGGCCAACCTTATTTTAAAAGACCTCACAGTCCAGATTTATTTCTTTATTTTTCCCGTATTTGTTTTGTATGCATTCTAACCAAAAATCTTTGAATACATGTTATGGATAAACCATCTATAATGCGGTATGAGCAATTTAACATAATGACAGCATGGTGTCACTGAAACAAGCCATGTATTGTATTTAAGAGTATTTATTTTTTATGTACAATTGCACCTAAGAATTTCTCCAAGCATTCTGATTACACATGAGTGCATTAGCACAGACATCACCTTTTAAATTTTATTTAAAATATAATGTAAAGTTATTGGATTTTTAAGTTTCTCTGAGAGTCTCTTATTACAACTGCTTCGAATGGGGGAAATTAAAATCCAAAAATGATAGAAATTTGCAATCGAAAGCTCATTACTTATTGGAAATAGATGAACTGAATATAGGATTTATTTTATCCACTCCACCTACTGGCTCAGAAAAGTAAAGCAATGACCTTGTTTTTCTTTGACAGATTCATTCACCCAGTAAATACTATAAAAGTTATTATTGGGGTGAAGAGTCCAGATGTGGTAAGAAGTAGGAAACGTACTTACAACCACGGCACTTTTCTGTTTGGCCAACATCATCTCGCCTTGCTCCAGGAGTGCAGATGTGTGCTAAAGATATGCCTTGATAGTGCTGCAGAAGAGCCTGCACACTCTAGAACAGGCATCCCCAAACTCCGGCCCTCCAGATGTTGCTGAACTACAACTCCCATGATTCTATGAATGAAAGATAGGCTGAGAATCATGGGAGTTGTAGTTCAGCAACATCTGGAGTGACGGAGTTTGGGGAAGCCTGCTCTAGAATTACCTTTATTGTGCCGTATGTGTACATGTGTCACCATTTGACCTGCGGATGGAGCACATGGGACTGAAAGAATCATCATTGTATGTTTTGGCTGTAGCAATATTTAATTCGATTTAAATAAGTGTATAAATGTTTGCCATCTACACAGAGACATTTCTAAAAAAAAAAAATAGGGACAAATAAGAGAATTGAGAAGGCAACTGTAAGTTAAACGAACACTCTGATGCCAACACTACTTTAATTCTTTTGTGAATTAAAAAACGCTCACTCAGTGCTTCTTGCGGCTGAGACTGTATGCAGACATTCGATAAGGAAGTCTTTCTAAAGTTAGTGGTCATGGCTGAGGAAACAGGCTTATGGTACAACTTTCTGCCCAAAAACTTTTGGGGTTTGTGCAAAAACTAGAAAAGATTTCAGCATGTAAACAATACAGTCTATTAACAAGGCAAACATTTGTATTGGTGCCCCGGAGTGTCCCTTTAAACTCTAGTATAACAGCTTGCAGGTGTACTTTGCATTTGTATTTTAACTACCGGATTTTTACTCTTTGAGCAATAAATAGTGTTTTATATACTTTTGTCCTTTTAATGCTTATTAAAAAGTTTTAAGGAGTTTTGAACACATTTTGCAACTAGTGGCGATACACGTCATTCTCTTTGTGCTCTCACCTAATATTTGATTTCGAACTATTAACAGGGGTGTCTCTCAGAAACAGAACTCGTAATTTATCTAAATGATTTTAAATCTTAAATGATCTTAAATCATTTCAGATCCTGAGCCATAGTGCAATCAGTACTGTGTACAGAGAATAAATTATTTGGCTTACAAAAGGCCAGACCATGTTGGAATTTGCATTGATTGACGATCATTCTATCTGCTTTCGCTTCATATAGACTCGCAGGGCTTTTTACAAAAATGAGAATTTAAAGTGAATATCACATTTAAGGCCAGAGTAGTCAAACTTACGGCGTAGCTGACTTACTTATTCCAGTTCGACTATTTTAACTTTACATTTTAAATTGACCTTGAATTCTTACTTTAATGATAATGCCCCTTAAGTTTCACTTCTCAATCCCACCTTCCTCCATTTAGGAGTTAAATTACTTTTATTTCTGTCCATGCAGCCCTAGCCACACTTTCCCTGGCTATGACTGACACAGCCCGCATGAAAAAATCTTTAATTTTTAATAACATGTTAACTTACGTTAGAAGTTTTATCTCCTGATCTGTAAATTGTACTTTTAATCACATGCAGGAGGCTCCTGCAAGGTCTAGCAAACTTTTAACAGAGCAGAAGATAATTTTGATATTCAACATAATATGCAATAAAGGAAATATAAACATTAGATCTCACTTTACAGGAAGTGTTTAGGATGGTTGTGCACATTACATGCAGGGAGGTGTGATCTAAAGTTTTTTTGTGAATATAGGGTCCCTTTAAGGCCAAAGTAGCTAAACTGGAAGCATAGCTGAATTAGATAATTTTTCAAGTTTGGTTATTTTGACCTTAAATTTGAAATTCCCTTTAGTGAATTAACCTGATAAATAGAATCTTCTTCTAAAACCCTCCAAATGTATTAGCCCTAAATAAGGAATATTTGGGGGATGGCAGCTTTATAAGAGTACCCTGTATTGAAAATCCCATCACCCTTGGGTAACAGCACAATCTGCAATATACAGCCCTACTGTACAACGAAAACAAAACGCCTGTACAACATCTCATCTACACAATATTCTGCTTTGTATTATAGACATTATTACAATGGAATCTCCTACACACCATGTGTTCAATATTTAGGGTTAATCAGCAGGTATTTTAAAGGTAGAGACACGTCATCTCATTAGGATTTTAAATGTGAGCCTAAAGCAGTCAGAAAAAGAGACTTGAGGAAGAGTTTTACCTCCATTTTTACAGATGAGCATACTCTTTGATGGTTATTACAGTGATACTAAAAAAAACTTCTGTTTGTTACATTGTGATCTGGAATAAAGCAGATTATTTTTTAAGAATATTTTGCTTTTCTTATGTCCTGATATAACACTTGGTTTGCCTACTGCTTTTTCTTCATACAGGATTTATAAATAAAGGGTGAATTGTCAGCAATTAAAAGTGAATTTCAAATTTGAAACCGAAATAGCTGAACCGGGAAAAGTACCCAAAACGACTGTGTTTTTATTCCTGAAAATTCACACTTGAGTGAGGAATCTGCATGTGTAAGTCATCCTTTCACACTGATCAGCTTGTTTGACTCTCAAGTAGTTACTGCCAAATATATGTAGAGTATATGCTATGTCATTTATTGTATTACATTTTGGGATTGTGACACACCCCCCCCCACACACACACTCACTCACTCTCTCGACCTTGTACAAATCATTATTTTTTCTAAGAATATTTTTCACTGCTTCTTAAAGGGATACTCCAGGCACCCAGGTCACTTCTGCCCATTGGAGTTGTCTGGGTGCCAACTCCCACTACCCTTAACCCTGCAACTGTAATTAAACTGCAATATTTACCTTGCAGGGTTAAGTCTTCCAAAAAGAAAGCTTGGATCACTGGATGTAGAGATCCAGTGATTTGAGCATGTACTGGAGCTATAATGATAGAAATAGAGAGTAAATGTAGTTAATGATAAAAATGCAAAGATGTGTATATATATCAAATCCCTTGTCTAGACTATATGGTCATCCCAATGTGAAGATAGTGTTACCAGCCGAATAGGCTAAACCTCCCTGG